GCGTTGAAACGGTTTGTTGCCTGCCGAGGCAAGCCAATTGCTCTGTTCTGTGACAATGTCACCAACTTCAAGGGAACAGACAGAGAACTACGAGACCTCCCCTAATAAAATTGTTATGGTTATTTTTCTTAACGACGTGTTTGGGGTATCATCCAAACCATTTGTGGAAAAGTTCGACAATTTGGGTAATCGTTCGTTTATGGTATTTATTTATTAGGGTCTGCAAGCAACTCAACGACCAACAACTGACTGAAGGTAACATCGTTCTGCGCTGAATCATCCATCCAGTTCAACTTTATCCCTGCGAACGCACCGACATTCGGCGGCCTTTGGAAGGCTGCGATCAAGGCTTTCAAGCACCACTTTCGACGAGTCGTTGGCTTGGAATCCCTATCAAGCGATGCAATGCGTACCATCCTCTGCCAGATAGAGAGCTGTCTTAACTCTCGCCCACTTACCGCCCTATGTGACATGAAAGTTCTCACACCGGGACACTTTCTGGTCGGAACAGCACTCCAGTCAATCCCGGAGCCCAACCTGGCCCGAGTTTCCAACAACCGGCTTTCACTTTGGTAGGAGATGCAGCGCAGAATCCAAACGTTTTGGAAACTCTGGTCGACGGACTACCTTCATCAACTGTAGCAGCGTACGAAGCACTACTACCGGCAGCCGAATGTTCTTGTCGGAAAGCTGGTACTCCTGAAGGACGACAACCTACCTACCTCCGGTCAGGTGGAGCGTGGGTCGAATCGAAGCAGTACATCCCGGCGCGGATGGTCTCGTCCGGGTGGTGACCGTCAGACTTGCATCCGGCGCAGTCTTCGACCGACCGATTGTGAAGATCTGTCTTCTACCAACCGACAGCGAAGATAGTTCCGCCTCCACTTCCGGTGAAGTGCCTGGTAGCCCAGATGGACACGCAGCAATCGCTGCTATCGCAGAAGAATCCTCATGTTTTAGATTAAGAAAAGATCTTGAATTAGAGTATAAGTTAATTTGAATGAAATAGTTGTTTCATTGGTAGCCAGTATGTCGCAAACAACGCAAACAGTTAGAACAGCATACAATTCACCAGACGAAAAACCACAAATTATATTGTACCACACATCACACAACCAACAGATATTAAAACGATCAACATGCTGGCCAAGTAGATAGTTCAAACCAAACTTTTGTATCATCTGCACGAGAAATACACACCCGGTTAAAGCAACGCAGCAAAGCAACTTCATTTTCTCCCTCCGATCGAAGCCACCCAAACAGCCTTTGTCAAGGCTAGAGTTTAGAACTTTCTCACCGTAAACCAGAACCAGTGACCAACCCCAGAGTATTCCATTGCGCCGTTGCCAGGCGTGGGAGCTACCGAAGAGGATTCCGTGGCCCTGAAAAATATTGGTACGTTCTGAGAAACTTGATTCGTTTAAATTTCCAAAATTAATCAGTTCATAACATTCGTGTATTTTATGAAGCATTGCAACTCTGGCTACGAATATTTCTTGAACTAAATACGAATATATTTGTGCGAAAAAAATCGAAAGAATGAAAATATTACGAATCATCCGTATACTCACAAAAAAAGTTCAAATTATACGAAAAGCTATACAAAGAGACACAAAAATTTAATTGGAAAATAAAATTGATTATTGTGAAAGCCATTTTAAAAACTTTATTGCATTGAATATTGAATATTTAAAGTAAATCTATTACATACCAATGGTGATTCTTCCAATCTGCACCAGGATCTTCTGAAACCCGCAGCACGAATCAAAGGCCATACCCTACGGCACGGCAGCATCTCTCCGATGAACAGTCAACGCCTTCTTTACCAGTCAGTGGCTTGGACTCGCTAAAGTATCTAGTCTTATAGCGAATTTGTTTATTATTCAGTTCCAACCTGGATCGGGTATCAAGATCGGCTCTGCTTGTTTTCTGACAAACGTCAGTTTGATCGTTTGTTTTTAAAAGCTACCTCAGGTTGATGTTCGCACTGACAAAAGTTCGGTTTCACACTGGGTTGGAACCAGTTCCAACCCCGATAATAAACAAATTCGCTATTAGTGATTTGCTGCGTCAGCTGTGTCCAAGATCAGAATGCGGTCTATGTCCACGGAAAAACTCACGACGGCTGCTCTTTCATCTAGCCAACGATTGACAGGCTGTGTATATTTATAAAATAAGGATTAGTTCCACTACAAATTGCAAAACGATGGTAATGCTCATCTCATCAGGGACCGTGAACCTCCCGATAGTCCTCGATGAAAGGTAGTTGGTGGAATCCATCATGTTGATCGGTCTCAGTTAATGATGGTCAGCACGGGATGGCCGTAGCTTACGACGGGACTCCCAGCTTGAGCCATGTTTGCTCCTCCGTGGTGCGTATTCCGTTGGATGATAGTTTTTTTTTTGCTGCAGCTGCGAAGCGGCATCTACGCCGGGGATCGGACCAAACAAAAATCAACATCACATTTCATCAGTCCAATGATGATGCCTTCTAGTTTTCATTATACTTAAAAACATGCGTATCACATACGCAATTGCATAATATTAATGAACGTCAAATGCTATAATGCACGAGTGATTTTCGTAGGTGAACGAATGGTTTTGTAGTTTTCACGAACGTACGAAAAAAAAAAGGCAGTGTTTACTTCCGTGCAAAAATCAGTTCTTGTATTGTACGAATTAAGAGTAAGGTTAGCATGATGCCTGATAGCATACAATACAAATGTTTCGCAAAATATACGAAACATATGTTATATCTACGAAACTCATTTTTTTACGAAATGAGCTTGACAGAATTAACGAAAAAATATTTTCAGTGTATCCATAAGACCTCCATAGCTGACATACAGAATCATATAAAAGAATTCTGGAATTAATATTGTTTTAATTAGGCTTTAACCGTAACAGTTATTGATCCCAGATCTAAGAACAAAAGAATGTTTATTTATTTATTTATTTCGTCAAGCAAAGTCTACAATGGTTACAATGTTTTACTTACATACTATGCATTATTTCTATAATGTTTTAGTTTGGTTTTAATTTCTTCTTATGACATAGTGATGCTCATGACTTCACAGTGTAGATTATACTGTCGCATCATTCGATTGAAGGGGCCATTTTTTGCGTAATTTGTTCTGTGTGATTTTTCTGAGAATAATTTTCGTGTTCTTAGATGCCGACCGGGTGTGTAGAAGTTTAATTGTGAAAGTATTTCTGATGATTTTATGTGATGTGAAATAATGTCATTGATGAAGAAAAGCATTGAAAATTCGCGGCGTTCTTTGAGTGTTTGCAAGTTGATGAGCATACAGCGTGCTTCATATGATGGAAGAGGAAATGCGGTCCAATTCAATTTCCGAAGGGCATATAAAAGGAATTGATTTTGGACGGATTCTATGCGTTCCTCGTGTATGGCAATGTACGGATTCCATACCAGGTTACAGTATTCCAGAATAGGTCTTACGTATGTAATATATAATAATTTGATAGTGTATGGGTCTTGAAAATTATAGCTGAACCTCTTAATGAAGCCCAACATACTATTTGCTTTCGTTATGATTGTATTATAATGTTCTACAAAAGTTAGTTTGGGGTCTAGGATCACACCTAGGTCCCTTACAATTTTACATTTTTCTACTTTTTGGTTGCCTGAAAATATTTCAAAAAGAGGTGTTTCTACTTTTCTGCTAAATACAATTGCGTTGAATTTTTTTCAAAATTGAGTTGGAGTAGACTTTTACTACACCAAGTGTTGAATAAGTTGATTTCATTCTGGAATTCTTCTGTGTCACTAGAATTACTTATTTCCATGAAGAGCTTCATGTCGTCTGCATATATAAGAACTTTTATTTTTTTAAGTATGTAGGAAATGTCGTTTACGTACAAAATAAAAAGAATTGGGCCTAAATGAGAGCCCTGGGGCACCCCAGAGGTGACCGAAATAGGTTCTGAAAGTTTATTCTGAAAACGAACTCTTTGTTTGCGTTGCGTTAAGTATGATTGGAGCCAATTCAGAAGCCTAGATTCCATTCCTAATTTTTGCAGTTTAAAGTGTCGATTCGGTCAAATGCTTTACTGAAGTCAGTATAAAGAGCTTCCACGTGCTTGCCATTGTCCATTGCGTTAAGAATGAAGGTTACAAATTCAAGAAGATTAGAGGTAGCTAAACGACCTTTAAAAAAGCCGTGCTGTTTGTTTGTAATTTGATTTTTTTACTTGCTGAAAAATTTCGTCGTTTTTTTTAGAGACATATTGAAAAGGCGGGTAAGTTGTTCTGAAAGATTCTTCAAGAATACAGGTGCAATTCCGTCAGGTCCTGGTCCTTTAGATGCGTCCAAATTTTTTAGTGCATTGAGGACTTCATGTTGACATATTTGATTGACAGATATGTTGTTTGAGACTTCGGGAATGAATGCAAAGAAGTCGCGGTCGCGGTCTTTTTCAGAAAATGTCAGTATAACATCAATATAAAAGCGTGGATTAAGACTTGATTGCTTAATTGTAGAACAGCGTTTTGTTTTTGAAACCTCTTTTAAATTTGCTATTCATTGAAAAAAAAATTGATTAAACTAACTGAATTATAGCCCATTGGTAGTCAAAACTTTGCCTTAAGTACTCAAATACTTTCACAATGATAAAAATTACAACATTTTGATTGTTTCCTAAATCTGTTCAATGAATATTGAACATAGTATTTTAAAACATTTGGAAAGTCAATGCATGGACATGTAAAACGCAAACATAAAAAGCAAGTACTACTTATTATCAAAATTCGATATCTAACTTTATAAACTTTACTACATACACACATGCACATACAGTTTACTAACACGTAACCATTTTTATACGTTCATTCTGCATTAACATAAAACCTCATCGATGAACTTTACGCTTGATTTGCTATTGTGGAATGTCTTCATTATCTCGCATGTGCGATGCCTACCCTGCCAGTAAACCGCAATCATTATTCCACAACACCTTTTTATTCTCAAACCCAACAGCTTCCCCATCGCCTTGATGCCGACGCCGCGAGCAAACCTCTCACCGCTGCTTCCGAACCCATAGCAGGGCGCCGGCTCCCTATGGGCAAATGCGCCTCCAAACAGCCGGTTTCTGGACTCAATGAATTCGGAAGCTCCCCGTACCTGGCCATCTGCAGCGACGATGACATCATCTTCATCAATGTGGTAAGCCACTCACCATCACTGTAATGTTATGTTCTTTTCTTTTCACCCAATGCATTTATCCAGTTCACTGAATATTGATTACTCAAACCATTCTCCAACCGACCATTATCGATCCGCAAAGTGCCAACCGCTTTGAAGTAGGTGTGAGAAAAAAATACTCAAAATCGAATAATCGGTTCATTATGAGCAAAGGAAAACCGCAAAACCAAATCCCAGGTGGCTCACGGCCATCGATCGCAAGAGCCATACTGCCATCCAGAGAATGCCCGTTCAGTGCCCAGATCCCAAAAACCACCGACCGAACAAGCCGGGGGATAAAAGAAAATTGATATTTATCTCCTCACTACCCAGCTCTTTCCGACGTTCCGAAACCAAAAACTGCATCCATGGCACTCTCGTTGACCTAGTGACTGCCACCAGTCAACCGCATATTGTATTGGTTAATAAACTCTGTGCTCCAACACTTGACTGCAGAACCAAAGTCAATTCTCCACAGACCGAACGCCAATTTGTATTCGGCGACTGTTGAAATTAAAATTCATTGGATATTGTCGGTTTCATCGGCAGTAATTGCAAATTATATGCTATTATCAGATTACCTCAAGTGAATCCACATTGGCCCCGCAATTTTTTTGGAGGGAGTTGCAATGCTACTGTGAAGAAATTGCGATGGGAATATTTAGACACCCAGACCGCACATGTTCAATTCGGAGGAGCAGTTGTAGTCGGCAAAGATCAGACGCGGATCCAATGGAAGCCACGTTCATTGATCGATTTTGTTCAATTCACGCTGAATGCCTCAAAATTTATCTGATGGCCAAGCGGGAAATGTTATGATTCGCAATCGAAAGGGGGTAGGAGCATGCACGGTTGGAAAACAAATAATTGATGCATTACACTAAGACTTGGGGTTCGGGGTCTGTCCGTACATATTCACATATCGCCGTTTATTAATGGAGGTAATGATGTTCGTCAATGCGACTTGCACAATACATTGTACGTGTAATGGACACGTGCGAGAACTCCATGGGCACGACTGATCTGGTTGAGTATCGAAAATATTTGAATCTATTGTAATAGTGGATTGCTTTCAATATTGGCCACTTCTATACTGTTTTACATACAAGGTTGCTTCGAATCAAATCGCTATAAAACACGTTTTTCGGAATTAGGCAATCATTTGATGTTATGATGATGATTGAGAAGTTCCACGCCAACTGACGAATTGATTTTACTGCGTGAAACTTCGCAAAAAATTGCACTATGGTCAATGAACCAAGTTTGTACCTGAATTCGTCCATTTTGTCACGCATAATTTTTCAAAATGCCGTATTCTGTATGTTTCACTAAATTATAGCACGAAAACGGCTCATCTAATCAAAATGACGCATACACTAAAAAAAATCAAAAATTTTCGTCAAAAATTAAAAACTTCTGGAAAAAAAAGTACATTTCCAAAATTTTAAATTTCATTCAGCTTTTAAATCTTACAATGCTAATTTTTCTTAAATGAACATAATGGACACTTCAAAACAGGCAAAAAACGCAGAACATCAACTACAGTACTTTCCCGTTTTTGTCAGCCCCATCTGAAATTTTAGGCTGACAAAAACGGAAAGCTGACAGAATCGGGAAATTTTCTTTTTCAATATTTTAACCATCAAAATGATTTTGAAATCAAGTTTAACCATTATTTATCCACTATTGATGGAATTACTGATAAATGTTAACTATTCTTACAACAAAGGGTACACCGAATGTCTCGAAAAAATTTCGCACGGTTTCTTTAAATTCCGCTTGGTTTTCAGCGCTGCAACCAAGGCTGAACCGCCATATCTCAGTATCCAACGTAAATACACTAGCCAGGAGCCGTTCCGAGATGTTCGGTATGATTCTGGCTACCGCGTTGATGGCCTTCGCTGCCTTCTCGTAGGCGTATTCTACGTGGCTATTGAAGCCAAACGTTCGTCGACCATCACTCCCAGGCATTTCAACACGCACTTCTAGTTTATTGCGTGCTCCCCAATGGTAATTGTTGACCGCTGCAGCGCTTTAAAGTTACTGATCAATACCACCTCGCTTTTGTGGGCTATCTGCAGCTTCGCTCCATGCATTAGGTTTCCAATCATGTCGACCGCCTCGGTTGCCAACATTTCCATCTATTTCAGGGTCTTGCCAGTTACCGTAAGACGACGACGTCGTCCGCAAAGCCAACGAGCTCAACTCGTTTTAAATCACGTTTCAGAGCGTTGGACCAAGGATGAAGTCTTGTGGAATTCCCACCGTGGTCCTAGTCGATCTCTGTCCCATATTTAGCTCGTAGATCAGAACCCGGTTTTGGAAGTAGCGTCGGTCTCCCAGCTGGAGCTGTTGAACGCATTCTTGACGTCGATCGTTATCACAGCGTAATATCGATCTCCTCTCCACTTCTGTTTCGACACCTTCTCGGCTCTCTAGAATTGCATCCACTTTTGCTTTTCCTTTTCGAAATCCGAACTGCCTCTCCGACAATCCTTGCTCACTCTCTGTGAATTTCGTCAGCCTGTTTAGGATGATCCTCTCTAAAGCTGGGTTTAGACTAGGCAAGTCAAATGATCAAGTCAGTTGAGTTCAACTGACTTGAACGCGAATTGAACGTGTAAACCATGCCATTCAACTGACTTGATCAACTCACTTGAATTGAAAAAAGTTGAACCAGGCTCAACTTTTCAAGCCAATTGAATTCAACTGAGTTGATCATTTGACTTGCCTAGTCTAAACCCAGCTTAAGAGTTTTCCGAGTGTATCCAGCAGGCACTGCTACGAGTTGCTCGTTGGTGACTTCATCGTTATCTCCCTCCCCGTCTCCGTACGACGCAGGTGGCCAGGTCGTTGCATGGTGCTTCCAGAAAAGTCGTTCCACGATGACTTTCAGGTTCTCTAAGCACATTTCAGCGGGCATGACTTGACATCTGATCTTCGTCATCACGATACGGTGTGCGTCGTTGGCAGCAGCGTCTCGACTCAGCTCCAGTTGACAGTTTGACTTGCTCTGCTTTTTATCTCTCGTTTATGTGCTCCGAACATTCCTCTACGTTCCTCTCTGTCTGCTTCTGTTCTTGCTCTCTGAACCTGTCTTCTGGCTCTCAGACAACTAGCGGGGAGGGTGCTAATAGCCTCGTTGAAGCACTAAGCTGGAGGTTCCACTTCAGGTCGCAAGTTCTCGTCTTATGTACTGCCACAGGACTCCGTTGGCCGATGCCATATCGGATTGCCTGATGGTCACTATGGGTATATCCTTCACATACTCTCCAATTCATGTTTTCCACCAGCGACGGACTGCAGTACGCATAAAGTGACGTCGATAATGGACCACCTCTGCGAAAAGTGCTGGTGGTGCCTTTATTGAACAGCCTAATTTCCATCTTCACCAGAGCTTCCAGCAGAATGTGCCCGCAAGAGGGTACATCTGTTTCCCCACTCCACTGTCTAAGCATTGAAGTCTACTCCGATGACTACCGGTCTTCGTCCGATCAGCTCTTCGGTAAGTCCAACCAGCGTCTCGTGGAATTGCTCCATCGTCCATCGACTTTATTTCAGTGGTGATTTTGAAATTAATTAGGGTAGAGCACTACTTCGGCCTAAGCGCCCATTTTGGATCTATCAAGCAGAAAACATCAAATAAATCCATGATTTCGGCGTTAACAGGTAAATTATGTGTTGGGTACGATACTTTAGTTCAAATTCTACCAAACGAAGTCAATAAGAACGCGTGATTAAATTGTTTGCACCCAATATTCTCAAAAACAAATGAAGTGCTCCGACCGAAACAATCTTCATCTTCATCCGATAGGCCGAAGTGAATTCATTGGCGTTTCAATGCGTTAGGCCGAGTTTAGAATCTGTAGGCCGAGTTTGGCGTCAAGAAGCAGTGTTAGACTTTTCACAATATCTCAAAAATTTGTTTCTCTTTATCAAATCTTACGGTACGTACGGAAAGGCACATAAATTTGAAAGCCATCAGTTATAATAACATTCCGTTTGGTGCTAAACTACGCATTAGCATTAGCATTAGCATTATTGACCGCCCACGGTTGCTACTCTGTTATTACCAGATCAGCTGCAATTACACAGAGAACCAACAAATGATGTTTGGGACTAACATTCATCCTCAATGTGTAAGAACTGGAGATCTAATATTTAGCAATACCAGCGCCGGCCGTGTCCGAATGCAGGTCCAATAGGGAATGGGAAGGAATGTGTTGACGTGATACTCGCTGTGAAGGAAACCGAGAAATCCTCTGCGCTTCCACGAGAAATCACTGGGATGTTGGATGTGGGGAAAGGTTTGCAGCAGCAGGGATCGTTTTTGGTAAACTAATGCTGATTGTAGTGATTTATAATAGGTACACAAACACAAAAACGCACGCATACACACGCACACACACGCACTCGTGAGTATAAACAGAATATAAAATTATATTTAATTGAACTATAACTTAATTTTAACTTAACTTTAACTTAACTATAGCTTAACTTTTACTTAACTTTAGCTTAACTTTAACTTAACTTTAACTTAACTTTAACATAACTTTAACTTAACTTTAGCTTAACTTTAACTTAACTTTAACCTTACTTCAACTTAACTTTAACTTAACTTTAACTTAACTTCAACTTAACTTTAACTTAACTTTAACTTAACTTTAACTTAACTTTAACTTAACTTTAACATAACTTTAACTTAACTTTAGCCTAACTTTAACTTTACTTTAGCTTAACTTTAACTTAACTTTATCTTAACTTTAACTTAACTTTAACTTAACTTTAACTTAACTTTAACTTTAACTTAACTTTAACTTAACTTTAAATTAACTTTAACTTAACTTTAACTTAACTTTAACTTAACTTTAACTTAACTTTAACTTAACTTTTACTTAACTTTAACTTAATTTTAACTTAACTTCAACTTAGCTTTAACCTAACTTTAATTTAACTTAACTTTAACTTAACTTTAACTTAAC